TACATACATACATACATACATACACACACTCACACACACATACGCGCACGCATGCGCGCGCATCCGCACATACACACACACACACACTAACACACACACACACACACGCACACAAACACACACACACACACATACACACATAAATTCACATTCACAAGACAAAAAACGTGTATCGTCATTCAGTGGGGCCGATAGCATTGGTTCAGGGTGGGAAGAAAATAGGCTATCTACAGCTACAGCATACTTACGTACGAAGAAAAATGGCGGGAATAAACTTTGAAATGTGCAACCTAGTTAAGTTATAATAAGAATTTTACTGCACTAGCAACACAAAAAAGTTATATCGTAGTTTTCGTTAGAGTTTTACGGCACTTGCAACACAATAAGGTAATGTAAGTGCCGAAGATTAGGTGTTACAAGAGAGTAACAAACCCACAAAAAAAGGAGGGGAGATCAGGACCATAGATGTTTGATAGGACAGAAGGAGCAAACAACACCAGAGCACCGCCAACCACCCACTGGAATAAACTTTGAAATGTGCCGACTAGTTAAGTAATAATAAGAATTTTACTACACTTGCAACACTAATACGTTATATCAGTTCCGAAGTTAAAGGTGTTGGTAGAGAGTAACACACAGAAAAAAAGGGGACAAGAGATACGAAAAAAGGAGCAAATCACACCACAGCATCTGCTAACCACCCTCGAGTTACTTTGAGTCAAGAAAAGCACATCGACACAATAGTGGTCATTTAGTGCATGGGGGAAAAAAAGCAAGACCGACCAACAACAGGAAACACCAGAGGGCGGGTCAAGAAGTAGGACATTCCATGGGCACCACGCTCCAACTCCAACCGCCCAGCGGTCACGCTAGGCACAGCGCCGCAGCGGCCAACTCGCCAGAACTTCGATCCGCGCCACTCAAAGAGGTCTCTAAATCACGAGATCGAACGCACTTCTGAGAGATCGATAGATCGATATCCCGGAATCTATAGAGCCCGGAATGAATTACAAAAGCACCGACAACAACTCGACACCCCGCCCATTTCTCCCCCACTTCACACCC